AGGAAAACACCACATAAAGCTAAAAGTGAAGAGTTTGATTGTGTATTGAAAGAGTGGAAATGTCAGCATTTCAGTGAACGCAGGTCACTTGATGATACGCTGATTATGAAACAAGCAAAGATGTATCATGACAACTGAAAATTGAAGGGAACTGTGAATATTCAACAGACTGCAGAAATTTGAGAAAAGACGTGGCATTCAATATTTAAAGATTTGTGGTGATAAAGCGCTTGCTGATCACAAAGCAGTGGAGAGATTCATTGATGAGTTTGAGGAGGCCATTGTTGATGAGAATCAGATGCGAGACCAAACTATAATGCTGATGAAACATCACTGTTTTGTGGTTATTGTCCTAGAAAGACACTGACTGCAGGTGATGAGTCAGTCCCTGTAGGAATTAAGGACGCCAAGGACAGAATAACTGTGTTAGGAGACACTAATGCAGCAGGCATGCTTAAGTGTAAATTTGCTATGAGAGGCAAAAGCTTGCATCCTTGTCTTTGTCCTCGTTATCACTGTTTTCAAGGAGTGAATTTCTTACCAGTTCACTACTATGTTAAAGAAAAGTCATCGATCACCAAGGACATCTTTTCTGATTGGTTTCACAAACATTTTGTACCAGTGGCTCATGCTCACTACAGGGAAGCTGGATTGGATGATGACTGCAAGATTTTGTTATTCCTTAACAAGTGTTCTGTTCCAGCTGTTTCCTCCAGCTGAAATTCTCACCAAAGGTAATGTTTATGCCATGTACTTTCCCCGAAATGTGACTTTATTAATTTAGCCATGTGACCAGGTTATCCTCAGATCAATGAAGAATAAATGTAAAAACACTTTCTTGAACACCTCTGGCAGCAGTGAACGGAGGCATGGGAGTGGAAGGTTTTCGAAAGTTTGGCCTGAAGGATGCCATATATGCTGTTGCCGGTGCTTGGAACACAGTGACTAAAGACACAGCTGTGCAGCCTGTCACAACCTCTGGACCGCGATTATGTTCAGTGATGATGATGAACAAGATGGTGACTTTAAAGGATTCTGTATATCAAGTGAGAAAAAAATGATGTCTAACCTCCTTACACATGCAAAAAGATATACCTTCAGGGGCTGTCCTCAGCAAGCTGGAAGAAGTGGATATTGACGTTTTTTTAACATCAATCATGAGATTTCAGTTGTTTATTCATTTGCAAATGGTGAAATAGCTGAGACGGTTCTGAATCAAAGTGATCGTGATAACAGTGACATGAAGATGACATTGTTAACACCACGAAAAAAGTGCCTATAGGCGACATGGTGAAAATGTGTGATGGGTGTTTTGAGGAACTAGAGCAGTGTGCATTTGTAAGAGAACAAGCTACCGTGTCAGTTTATAACATCAAAGAGAGACTTTGAAGACAAAAACCGTTGTTAGTGAGGCAGATGACTCTGGAGGGAACGTTTAAAAAAGCCATCCCATCCGGCAGCATGCCTCCCTGTCCCTAGAGGACCCACTTCCTGGTCTCTCAACTGCTTCTGATGTTTCTTCTCACCTAAAAAACAATACAGTGTGCAGCAGTAAGCTTGTAATCAAAATATGGCACTGTAGGTGGAGACTGAAAGGCCAGCGCTGCTTTTGTTGCTGTTGTTTAATAGCTGATGCAGGCACTCGGGTGATGCTACTGTGCCGTGTAGTTAATCTGAACACAAATTTTATCACTGTATTAATCGTATGTCAAGTACTTGAGTGTGAATAAGTGTAAAAATTGCCTCTTGCTAGCATATAAATTCAGAGTCAGGAATGATGGTGACGACAAACTACCATAGATTGGCCACATGGGTGTCTAAGATAGAGACATCCATGCTTTCTGATGGTTCAATGTATACAAACTTTATTTCATGCACAAAGTTATTAAACATAGTATATAAAATTACCTTCAGACTATGTGTATAAGGTATATATTAAAACACAAATGGGCCAGGCACGGGGGTTCACGCCTGTAATCCTAGCACTCTGGGAGGCCGAGGAGAGAGGATCGCTCAAGGTTAGGAGTTTGAGACCAGCCTGAGCAAGAGTGAGACCCCAGCTCTACTGAAAAAATAGAAAGAAATTATCTGGGCAACTAAAAATATGTAGGAAAAAATTAGCCAGGCATGGTGATGCATGCCTGTAGTTCCAGCTACTTGGGAGGCTGAGGCAGAAGGATTGCTTGAGCCCAGGAGTTTGAGGTTGCTATGAGCTAGGCTGCTGCCATGGCACTCTAGCCTGGGCAACAGAGTAAGATTCTGTCTCAAAAAAACAAAACACACACACACACACACACAAATGAATTTTGTGTTTAGACTTGGGTCCTAGCCCCCAAATATCTTATTATATATACACAAATATTCCAAAATCTGAAAAAATCCCAAATCTGAAACATTTCTGGTCTCAAGTGTTTCAGATAATGTATATTCAACCTATAATGCATGTGAAATGTAATGTGTGTGAATGTGCTATACACACGTAACCTTTATTAATGTCATTGTTAATTGCTACAGCTTGTTATTTGGGGGGAAATAGGAAATAGGATGGTGGAAGTTGGGCAAGTCACTTTTGGAAGATATATGCACATACAATTGTGTATATTTTCCAAAGTCTGAAAGGGTATATTACAAATTGTATGTGGTAGTGGGGCTTTCATATTTGCTTCTGTATCTGAATCTGAATTATTTAGGTTATTTTTACAACAAATACATTTTTTAAAACTTGTATTTCAATAAATTCCCATAAAGACAACAAAGAACCCCTGTGCTAAACAGCAGGTCTTTCAAAAGCTGTGGTTTGATCAAATTGAATCCATTTTTAAACAGATCATGGGAAAAAATAACCCCTACTAACCAACTCCTCTGTAAACTCTCTGACCTAATTTTTGGTAGTGGTTGGTTTTAGTGTGTTTTTTCCTTACAGAACTTTAGTTACAAACCATCACATAAGAAAGGGATGCCCTTTTTGAAGGAAAAAGGAACAAATTTGCACAGCACTAATTATTAAGATTTATAATAAAAAGGAACCAAATTTGAGCCGGGAATCTGCAGTTTCCTCAAATCAGAAGCACAACATCTCAGAAATTGAAATTTTCTTATAAAAGGTTAAAGACCAAAAAATATTACCTTTTAGGAAAACTAAAACATACGTAATTTCACTGCAGTGGCCAGTCTTTGACTGGCTCTTTTGCCAGTGGGACTCCCTTCTCTCACCTATGAGATTGACAAGATGTTTATACTTTGCCCTCAGACCCAGTCTGCTCCCTTACAGGCTCCTTTTTGGAAATATATTTCCCTCGAGTTCCTCAACATCTGACATCACCTCTTTACATCGAATTTTCAAATATTTTTCTTTGGCCTTAACCACCCCTTTCAGTTCTGTAAAACTTCTCAATTATCAGTTAACTCAATTTACGTTCATTGCTGGTATCTCAACCCAAACATGCTCAAAACCAAATTAATCTTTCTTCTTTTCTTTTGCTTTTGCTTTTTTTTTTTTTTTTGGTACACCATAATTCTTCCCAGTGAACGAAGGCAAGCCAAGACTGTTATTTTTTCCTTTGAGTTCTTCCTCCTCTGTGCCCCACAATCCTTCATTTAGATTTTTTATTATTACATCTGTTGCTTCTTCCCATATCTACTACTCCTACCTCCATGGCTCAGGCTCTTGCTTTCAAAAAAAAAGTGGAGAATGACAAGCAATAGAAGGTCAGAGAGCACTTACAATAGGTCTAGCATGTGACTCAGAACTTGAAAGGTACTCTCCTCCAGTAGAAAGATATTCTAAAATAATAGAACAGTATCAATAGAGGCACCCCAGGCACAGATAAGCCTGGTGTCATGAAAGAAAGGCAAGGAGCTGGTGGGGTTTTGTTGGTGTTGGGTGAGTATAAAGATTCTCAGGGATTAGGTTGGACAGTTATGTTCATTCCAAGAAGACTTTGAATTCCATTCTCTAAGCACTGGAAAAATACAGTTATCTGGCAAGAAAATCTGGTCTAAAACTGTTGTGATAGCCAACGGGGCAAATCATGAAAGCATGAATTATGGCACTAGGAATTGATTCACAACCTCTTTTGCCGTTAGACTCCATTGTTTTGGTGACTCATTACTTGTGGGAGGGGGGACAGGTGGGAGATAGAGATGCCAGAGATGACTGAGTCTGGTCGCCTGGGTGCTTAAAAGCATGACTAGCCCTGAAGAGAAATGCAAATTAAGCTTTGTGCTTCTGAATGACAGTCAAGTTCAGCGTTAGGCATGCAGACTGCGACGTGTCAGTGGGATATACAGGTGGAGAGGTCCAAAACACACTATTACCTCTGCAAGGATGATCTCCTGGGAAGTCTATTCCCAGCTCCCTGTTGGATGGATGGCTTTTATTTATATATCCCATCAACCCAAAGACAGCCTGTCTGTCCCTGAATCTATCATGGCTCCTTTGCCACAAACCACCCTCGCCTTCCCACTGACCCATTTTGGCCGACGATATTTTCATTTTCCAAACTCCTTGTCTAGGATGTATGGGTTTTCAGTTTCTCTCCCTCCTTTAATGCTCATCTTCATGTAGGCGGCAAATCTCATTGATTTTTCTCTCACAGTGTCTCTCATTTTCACTTCTTCTGCCTCTTCTAACTGCTACTGCCTAACTCTGGCCCTTATATTTTTATAGCTTAGTAGTCACCCCTTCATGGGGCCTTTGCCTTCAGTCTGCCCCCTGACAACCCAGTCTGTCCACCACAATAATGTGACTCTTCCTAAAACCCTAAACTGATCTTGTTACTCTCTCCCTCACAAACCCTCATTGACTTTCTGTCATCTACAAGATAAAGTTCAAATTCCTTAATATTATACAATTCATAGTTTATACACTCTAGCATTCTCTCCAGCCAAACTGATCTAGTTGGCATCCTGGAAACCAACCTTCTCTCTCTGAGCCTTGCTTCATTGCCTGCTGTTTTATTGGAGTATGTGAAGGGTGAAAGATAATTTTACAGAAATACCTTGAAATGCAAGAAAAGAGGTGCTTGGTATCCTGGCGAAGTCTCAGGTGGAACTCTGTTGAACACATCTGGCTAACTTGCCAAGCTGGGTGGGCTCCAGTCACAGATCTAAAGACTAGGTAAGGAAAAGGAAAGAGAAAAGAAGAGAAAGTAGGAAAAAGGAAGGAAGAAGAGAAGAAAAGAAAGAGATGCATAGGAGTTGGCCACAAATGACACAAATATCAGCATTCTCAGGCCTGTTTTAAATAACCAGTCTTTATACACTTAAAAGTGGTTATCTTCTTGTCTCTGAGCTGTTCAAGGGCAGGGACCAGGTCTTGGTTGCACCTGTCCCCCAGCACAAAGGCTGGCACACAGATGGGGCTCCGGAAACGATTCTCGAACGAACCATGGGCATTCGACTCACCTTCAATTAAAGGATGTCGTTTCCTTCACCTGCTCTCAGGTTACATTTTGCAACTGTACAGATTTTTTTCTTTCTTTCTATGTGCCTTTTCCAAGATGTTCAGAACAACATTGAGGGGGAAATAATAAAAAAATAAAAACAGCACTCAAGAAAGGATTTCAAAAATACAGTATATAATGGGAAAATTGATTTACCCCAACATACTCTTATTTGTCAGTGCATTTTCAGCACCACGCTTGACTTTCTGTCTCATTTCCAGTTAGGAGCAACTTCCACCATTAACTCTTTCCAGCAGCAGTCATTCGCGGTTAGTCACTGCCCTTGCTATGTTGGGATAGTCTGTTTTCTCTGTTAATAAACGTATTACTCTGTGATCATTGCTAATGAAGTTCATTCTTTTTGCCTCCACCTCTTCTCCATCTTGCCAGACCATTTGGATTCTAATCCTGTCCTGGATGCCCGCCTTCCTCACTGACGATGGGTGTCATCTGCTAGCAGCATGCTCTCATCTGTCAGCTCTAGGAGCTTATTTTCTGTTCTATCCATGTAAATCATTGATGAAATATTAAAGGATCAGTCCCAGAAGGGAGTCCTGGGGGACATGATTTCTGATGTCCCTGAGTTTGACATGAGTACCATTGATAATGAATTTGTTGCAAAACTACCCACCGCAGAGCCACAGTTCCCTGGTGTGTTGATTGAATACAGTCTTGAGGAGGGGACTCACGATGTCTTTCTGGGGCCAAATAGCTATGGAAAACTTTAGGGAGAAGACTGACATACTGACAGCCCACATTTCTGCTGGGTACTTTATGTATATTTATTTAATCCCTCTGCAACTCTATAAGGCAGTATAGTATAGTGGTTAACACCAGGGATCCTTAGTGTACCTGTCTGAGGTTGAATTTATACTCCATCGCTTTCTAGCTGTATGAACTCAGCACAATATTGAAATTCTCTGTGCTTAATTTTATCATCTGGAAAATAAGAATAATAGAATTCACCTCAGGGGATTGTTTTGAGGATTCCATTGCATGGAAAGCACTTAAACAGAACCTGGCACACACTGAATTTTCTACAAATATTAGTTATCTCATTATTATCTCATATTAAAGTTGAGGAAATTAAAGTTGGTATGCCATGGAGCCAAAATCTGAGACCCAAGGGTGTCTGATTCCAATTCTCAAGCTCTCTCCATTCTATTTGCAGACTTTTAAATTCATATTCTATATATTTCCAAAAGTGACTTTAGAAGAAAATGGCTCTAGCAATCAGAAATGCATAAGATTGTACCTAAACCTCGCAATTTAAGCCACTATTTCTTTGTTGGAGAGGTATCTATATTTGGTTGAAATCTTTTTAAAAAACACATTGCTTTATAAGAGAAAAAAAAAACCCTAAGTTTAAAATAAAAATCACAAAATATTAGGTTTGAAAAAAACTTCAGGGATCATCTAGTTAAAAATATAGCATAACGAAGTCTCTTTGGGTTTTTTTTCTTTTTATCTTCTTTTTTAATTACATATGGAAGTGGTAAGTGCTCAAAGTAGAAAACTTGGTTTCCCTAAGAAGTCCAGAGGAGAAAAAAATCACCCATAATTCAAACACTACTGATAATCACTATTAATGCTTTTATGCATGTACTCTTTCGTATTATCCTTCTTTGCAAAATGAAAAAATTACAAAAGGAAAAAAAATTATTTATCTTTCTTTACAAAATGATATCACTATATATATATATACTAGTTAGGAGCCTTTTTTGACTTAGTAGTAGATCATCAATTTTTTCCCATGTCATTATTTTACTGATTTTTAATATTTATAAAATCTATAAAAAATAAATCATATGAAAGTACCATAAATAACCTACCTAATCCCCTTTTGTTGGACATTTAGGTTGATCTATTTTTTTCCCCTACTATTATAAATAAAACTGTCATGAAGAGCGTTGTATTATGTTGTTGCATAATTCCCTCATTATGCACAAATCCTTCTTATCCTTAACAGATGGTTAGCCAGCCTCTGTTTGATCACTTCCAGTAACAGGGAGCTCACTTCTTTGCCAGACAGCTCATTCCATTTATGGACAACTCTAATTGTTAGAAAGTTCTTTATTTTTAACCAAAATCTGTTCCCCTTAACTTACACTCATTGATTCTAGTTTTGTGGTCTGGAATTACCCAAAGCAATCTTTCTTTTTTGTACTTGGAAGTCCATCAAATACTTGAAGAAGGCCATAATGAAACTTCCTAAGTATTCTCTTCTTGAAGATAAATATCCACACTTATGAGTCTTATGACAAAAAAGGATGAGAAATTGGTAGTGGTGGGGGTTTCCTCAAGAAAGATGTAAATTTGGTGACAGATCATATTTCCCTTTTTGCTTTGGCCTCCTGGAAGCTCAGAGCCTAATTGGCTGCTCCATTTTTATTACAGTAGAACCATGTCACCTCCATATATGTATATTATCTTTTCCCTTGGATCTAATCATCCTATTTTTGCCTATAGTCTTCCTGGCTATAATTTTTCTTTTTAAAAAATTCACTGGTTGATCTCATGAAGATAGAGTATGGAGTAGCAGTTACTAGAGGCCAGGAAGGGGAGGGGGAGGGGGAGGATGGGAAGTTGATTAATGAGTTCAAATACACTATTAGATAGAAGAAGAGCTGGTGTTCAGTAGATCAGTAGAGTGACAATAGTTAACATTAATCTATTATACATTTCAAAATAGCTAGAAGGGAATAATTCAAATGTTCCTAGCATAAAGGTAAATATTTAATTTAAAGTGATGGATATCCCAATTATCCTGATTTGATGACTTGATTATATGAATGCATCAAATTATCACATGCACCCCTAAAATATGTACATTTATAACATGTCAGTAACATATAAAATAAATGAAAATTAAAAACTTGCTGAATTGTGTCTCTATAAGCTCTCATAAATCCTCTGTGGTGCAAGATATATTATTATCAGACACGTTTCTCTATTTCCTTTATCCACTCTTTGCATGAAATCAGTTGGTCATTTGGGTTCCCTCTCACCATTTTGGTACACATGCCTGTCTTTTGCTTCCAAACGCTATCAGAACAATAGAATAGTATTAATTCCCTGCCCCTTTTCTCTGGTGGAGAAGCTGAATGGAATGGCAGGATAGAAAACATAATCTTAAGTTTTCCTGAATCCTCAGTAGTTTCTATCACATTTTCAGTATCTCCTGTGTCATCCAGCAGCACCGTTTTCTATCTTAAAGGGTGTTGGAGCACACGACTCACCGACTCCCAGAGTAACCATCACCACGTGTGACACTGCAGGGTCGATGGCCTTTCCATGCCACGTGGGGAGGGGTGATCCTCTCCACAGTAACCCCGAGAGTAACATGGTACTGTCCTCATTCTACCTAAGGAAACGGAGGCTCAGGGAGAGAGAGACTGTAACCCAGGCCCCGTAACTCTCAGTCTAAGCGCCCATCCATCCCTGCCCCTGAAACACACAGGCCTCAGAGGAGCTCCGGGCAGACCCAGGCCAAGAGGATTTCGCTACTGTTGGACAGGAGGCAGCAGCCCTGCGTGCTCCTGCTTGCAGTCGGGAATCCAGCTCTGATTATCCTCTTCCCGCAGAGAGGAGCGTGGTGGCTGCCAGTTGCATATGGCTTGACGAAGATAGGAGAGGACATAAAGACACCCCCCTCCTCCCTGTGCCCCCGGATGAGAATCAAGCAGATTGTTCCCCACGTGGAAGAAGTAGACGTGAGAAACCTAAGGCAGCAGGCAGACCTCAAACGGGGAAGAATAAAAACCACTCCCCCGACCCCCTGGCAAGTTCCGTCTAGAGGAGCCAGGTACGAAGCCACCAGGGCTGTCTGTGGGCCAAAGAGCTAGAACATTCCCGCCGCGGGAGCTTCCTTCCTGAGATCCCCTCCTGAAGAGAGGCCTCGTTTGCCTTCGGCCTCCCTGGAGGACCTCCGCTGCTGGCAGGCTGGCCGATGGAACAGCTCAGAGTTGAAACCCTCTTAAAAATAGCTCTGTTCCCTTCTGGGTTTAGCAACTCACACTTGAAAAGCTCTTTATTCTCTATAATGAATAGAGAGCAGGGACTTTTCATTGACAAAGAAGAGCTCTAATACAAAATCCAGGCAGACCGATGGTAGTTATTCTTTTTGAAGCGGTGGACAGAGAAGGCTGCGGCACTCAGCTTTCACAGATATCAACCCTTTCCTTGGGTTATTCCTGGAATAGAGGCGTGGAGAGGCTTTTGAGTGGCTCTTGCTGTCAAAAGCTCATGTGTGGTGGGCAGTATTTCAGGTGACAGCATTAGCTAGAGACCAGCAGAGCAGCTTGAAGTTGAAATTTCAATCTAATTAATTGACTGAAGGAGCAAAAGACCTGAAAGAAGGGCTTAACTCTTCGCTGTCCAGACCTCTGAGGCTTGTGGTCGTACCGAGCAAGGACTGGGCAAGCTTGAGAGTAAAAGGATGGGAGGAAAATGGTCGGGAAGCCGACACTCACCTTGGGGGGAAGAACTGCTGCTGGGTATGTGCTCAGGGACCCTGTGTCAGAGAGGCCATAAATTCCTCAATTTATGTCTTTTCCATAAAGAAAATGTAATTCAGATAGAGAGATAAAGTAAAACTCTTACTCTATAGTGTTCACTCTTGTTTCAGAGTAATTTATTTTCTTTAAATCAAATGGAATGCATCTCTCTGAG